AAACGCGATCTAGAGGTCAGTAGTGTAGCGAAGACAAAGCCACGTCCACCACTGAAGAATCAACCTTTCTTTTCCACTCATCCAACTCCTTCTTCAATGTCCCAACTGTTGTAGCCGATTCCTACATACAACAAAAATGGACGCTAATTAGAAACTATTCCCCGATCGAACCCGTCCCCACCACATGGGAACCCCTACAAGCGGCCAAGCGCCACCACGAGGCACCACGCTACTTCAGTGTCCTCGCAAGGGCTTCCTTTCTCGTTACTTAAGTAACCCGCGAGGCCAAACGCGCAAGAGTTCGCGACACGCTCCTCCCACGGTCCTCGACCGGGAACACACCACGGCCCTATGGCATGACATAAATCCACGACCCGCTTTCCTTGTCTCTTTATACCTCTCCCTCTGTCTATTTAACAGGATAAAAGAGTAACAGGAGTCCGCGACTCACACTCCCTTCATTTGCCCTTTTTCTTTCTTTCTTTTTTTTTTTTTTTTTTAGCTCCACGGTCCCCGACCAGGTGCCACGTACCTCGTGCCCCCGCGGGGCATAACAGAAGTCCGGGACTTCCTTTCTCCTCCATTCGTCCTTTTTTTTTTTTTCTTTTTCGCACCACGGTCCTCGACCGGGTTCCTCTATTCTCATCCCCCCCCGAGGCATAACAGGGGCCCGCGCCTTCCTTTCTTCCCCATTTTTCTTTTCCTTTCCTCTTTTTTTTTTTTTTTTTTTAGCCCCACCGTCCACGACCAGGTGCCACGTACCTCGTGCCACCGCGTGGCATTACATATTTCCTGGCCTTCCTTTCCCCTCCTTTCGTCCTTTTTTTTTTTTTCATTTTCGCACCACGGTCCTCGACCGGGTTCCTCTATTCTCATGCCCTCCCGAGGCATAACAGGAGTCCGCGACTTCCTTTCTTCTCCATTGTTCTTTTCCTTTCCTATTTTTTCTCTTTTTTTTTGAATTCTTTCGCACCACGGTCCTCGACCGGGTTCCTCTATTCTCATGCCATCCCGAGGCATAACGAAGTCCGCGACTTCCTTTCTCCTACATTGTTCCTTTTCCTTTTTCATTTTTCCGCACCACGGTCCTCGAACGCGTTCCTCTATTCCGATGCCACCCCGTGGCATAAGAGGAGTCCACGACTTACACTTTCCTAATCATTGCTTAACTAGAATCTACTTCGACCGGTCCTTCGATGCACGGAGAAAACAACCTCACGTAGATTTAAATGACAAAGATGACAACTACGACGGTGCATTAAATAAATAACATAATTAATCCTTTGACTGGCACTAAGGTGTCAGACGAATAAATTACCAAACACGTGTTTTCAAATAACGGAAAGCCAGACCGCTTAGAAAATTCGATGAAAACCAACAATTGGGAAAAAACACAAAAAAAGAAGAGACCAAAAAACGCGCCATTCGAAACGAACGACAACTAGAAACCTACAGGAAAGCGGAATTATACGGAAACTGAAAACACTACTTCAAGGTTCTCCGACAACTGCTGTTCCTCCGAGGTCGCGGCATTACTGATATCCTGCGAAGTTGAACCACTCTCGGATGCTTCTGTCTCTGCTGGCAATACAGGTGTCGTTGACGGCGGCGTTTCCTGACGAGAATAAGTTTCCAGTGGCCGCAACACTTCCTGCACTTAAGCCACAGCGTTCGGTTGGGACGGACGCGTACTGGTCATAGTCGGTGCGAATCCAACCATAGTTAGACAAACTGACAACTATGAATAATCAACACATGCTTATATAGTATGCACGAAGTCTAATGAATATTAATAAGGTATGAATAGTGTTGTTTTTGGGTTGCTGGCATCCTAAGAGGCCATAAACACAGTCAACACACAAATAAACATAAGAAAATACTAAAAGGAAAAATTTAATGTACGTTTTCCTCAATTATGGAGAAATAGGATAATTCTCATACAACGTCTTTTAACCGTTGTCATATGAATAATTAATTAGCTAAGTAGGATAATGTTAAGGGCTCTCATAGTGAGCTTGGGGTACCTGTGGTATTAGGCTTAAGCATGAGGAGGGGTGGCTGACAAAAACATTGACAATAGGTGGGGCGGCAAGGTTAAAATTCATTTTTGCTGGTGATGGGGGTCATGACTTATTTTAAGCCATATTTAATCAATTTGGTAACCCACTTCCCACCACCAGAGACCAGGTACTTACAGAAAAGCCCCTTCTTCAAATAAAGGGACAAATCTGCTCAAGATAATAGATAGTATCGAAAAGGCTCTTCATGTGATATAAGCAATGCAATGTTTAAGCCAGAAACTGTAGATTTAGCAACATACATTATACGAATGAACATCCAGTGTTTGTGTTTGTAAAACTGGAAACAATCCCCTTTGTCAAACGATACATGTCTACGACTCTGCCAGAGGAAGAACAAAAATGACAGAGACATGTTTCTCGAAAGTCTTAACCCTTTAAGCCCCAATATCAACATGCGTATTCTCCTCACTGTCCTCTCA